CCCAAACCCCAAGCCCTGAACCCGAAGCCCTAAGCTACAAGGAGCATGCCCAGCAGGCACACCAAGAAGCCTTGGCCTTAGCAGCCTGACTGGTCCTCGCGGTTCGCCGTTTATCCTGCTCCAAAACTAACATGGAAAGGGTCAGATGGGTTTAGGGTTTTAGGGTTTCAGGGTTTCAAAAATTTAAGGGTTTAGGGTCCCTATGGCCGGGTCAAGACGGGTTCGTGAATAAGTTTTCCACTTGGGAACAACACTTTGGGCTAAGTACTACATGGGAGTGTATAGGATGGTCTACATAGGGTTTGGGGTATGTACCCCTTCCCCAATTTAATATGGAACCCTGTACAAAGCCCCACTTTAAAAGGACAGTAGTCTATAAGGAACTCCTTGTCAGGTTCGGTGTTAGCTTGGGGAGGGTCGGGTTCAGGGCGTTCAGGGGCCCACGACAACAATCCCTACCAGGTCACTGAGCACCTGACAAAGCTCGAGGAGCATCAGAAGGCAGCTTGCTGCAGTAGTACTAAATGCAAAACCCTAAACCCTAAACTGCGTTGTGCGGAGAGTTGGTTCGGAGCGAGTCCCTTAAGGTTTATAACCTTGGGCTTTGGGTCCCCAACACCCTAAACAAGGGCTATATTCTAAAACCCTACGCCCTAAACTCAAGCCTCTACCTGGAACCCAAAAGTAGGTAAAATAATAGCCCAAAACATTTAAATGTAGCCCAAAAGGCCATTATTCTACATACTTATGGGGTTCAGGTAAACCCTACGGGTGGTTTAGGAAGCCAATCCCGAGGCTACCAACCCGAAGGGCCCAAAGAGGAGACCTTGATTCTTGGGTCAAGCCTCCCCTACAGTAAGAGCCTCGAAAAGGGGTCTGGGTTTAGGGTATTGGGTTTAGGGTTTAGGGTTTAGGATTTAGGGTTTAGGGTTTAGGCTTAGAAGGGTTTAGGGTTTAGGGCTTTGAAATACCTGAAAGTCCTTTGTGGTACAATAAACCCTTAACGATGTAGGCAGTCCAATTTGGCGCACTGGTTATTGTACGTCTGAATGCAGCTTGCGAGTGGAAACTTTGACCTGTAACCTAAGTTTTAAGCCCTATATACACCTATATACCCAAATATTCCCCTATTGTATATACGCCTATATAACCCCTATAAATTTGAGGGGTCTGATTTCTGCGAGCCCGTTGAGACTACGTCCGGGTCAGCTTTGGGGAGACCCGCCAAGAAAGGCATCTTTATGGGACTCCTGTCAGGCCATGGAGAAAAGGTCGGAGAAAAAAAAAAAAACTGAATTCTAAATCCTATATACCCCTATATTCCCTTATATACCCCTATATACCCCTATATTACTCTATACAACCCATATATTCCCTTATATACCCCTATATAATCCCTATATTCCCTTATATACCCCTATATAACCCCTATATTCCCTCATATACACCTATATAATCCCTATTTTCCCTTATATACCCCTATATACCCCCTATGTTCCCTTCTATACCCCTATATAAGCCTTATGAATTTATGAATCCCTTGTGGGTGAGGGATCGACCCAGCCTTGATACAGGAGATGAGCACGCTGCGAGAGCAGCTCAAGCGAGGGCCTGAATGTACGTGGGGATAATCAGAATAATAGTGATACCAACCATAGTAATACTCATAAGAATAGTAAGGACAATAGTACTAATAGTAGTAATAAGTAAAATGAGGGCAATAACGATATGATTGGTAATAGTGCTAGTTATATGAAGAGTGGTTTCAACAAGAATAACAAGTTTCTTCGTCGTCGTCGTCGTCGTCGTAGTAGTAGTAGTAGTTGTTGTAGTAGTAGTAGTAGTAGTAGTAGTAGTTGTTGTTGTTGTTGTTGTTGTGATGGTAGTGGTGGTGGTAGTAGTAGTAGTAGTAGTCGTAATGAGAATACTAATGACAGTAATAGTAGCTCGTGGAATATTCAATATATGCTTTATGGATTCCTCTACTGCCCCTGCTCTACTACTCGCCCTGGGGTCCCCCGGAATTTACGTTAAAGCTAATGACGGGCCACTACGCGTCAAGTAAAGGGGTGGCAGTACTGAAACCCATGAATGCTTCGAGGAAGGCAGCGGACGAGAAGAAGCAGGAAGAGGATAGAATCCGTCAGATGCAAGAAGAGCTCACCAGGCCAAAGTGCAGTGTGTTCATATACGGATGACAAACGGATTATATGACCGGGGATAACAGACGGCTATATAGGGTTACATAGGTATATACGAGGGCTATATCAGGGCAACATAGTGATTATATAGGGATATAGTACCCACAAACATGGATCTCCAAATGGACAAGAATCTGCTATTTAGGGTGTACGGTTTAAGGATGTCGGTGTTTCTCAAAACGGCATGGGGGGCAAGGACCCTAGAGATAGATAGGAATTATTAGGTGTTTCTGGGGTTCCCTACCTTGTGGGACATTATGATTAGTAGTGGTGTAATGGTTTTTAGGGCAACAGAAGATACTCACAAACTCGCGGGTCCTTCAGTGTAAAGCCCTGAACCCTAAACCCTAAAACCTTTTGAATGTTGTAGAGAAACTCACCCTTCTGATTTTTCTGCTTGCGCTGTTCCCCTGCCTTTGCATTAATGTAGGGGAATAAATGCTTACCGATACCTTACTTAGGAGGACCCTGGGCCCTTGACATTGAAGTCCCGCTATACTCATTTAGGGTTTAGGGTTTGGGGGTTTATAATAGGAGTATAATAGGACCCTAGCATAATCCTTATTGTCCCTTAAACCTACTATTACAGGGCGTGGGGTCCACCTAACCGCTATCATACGGGAAAGTTACCCCAATAATGGAGAGTCAAATGGATAAGAATATGGAACATGCAATTGAAACTGGGTTGACAGCGGGGTTAGTATGGGATTGTGGAATGTATATAGCAGCCTGAGGACTTCACAGTACCATGGTTCTAGATTCCTTGTATCACTAGATTATATGGTGCCTCAAAATGGACCTTAAAATGAGATTGGCCATTCAGGTGCCTACCTAGCCCACCTATGTAACCCCAGTTTCCATGTCATGTTCCCTTTCTTTTCCATTTGATTCGAACCCTAAACCCTAAACCCTGGACCCTAGACCCTAAACCCTAAACTCCCAACCCTGTTTAGCCCCCGACAAAACGTGTCCGGTTTGTGCTCTGCTTGGCTGCGGAAGGCTAAGAGGAGGTGCTGGTGCTGACGCAGGCTTGTGTGCCCTGGGTTTAGGGTTTAGGGTTAGAAGCCTGTATGCCTTATAGTCCTTACATGGGCATTTCCATAAACAGGGGGCCCCGGTATAGACCCCAATACATTCATATCCATATTTTAGGGAATTTTAGAAAAGGGCCCCTGATTTTGTTACTCCCCCCAAAAAACTTTAGTATAGTATACCCCAAAAACCCAATTCTGATCGAACAGGCAAGTACATGTGAGCGTGCGCCAAATGGTAGGGTCTATATTGCCCGCAAAATCTAGAGGGGAACACGGTGGCGCATCTGCAAAGTCAATTGCTTCGCTCAGGCCGTGTCGCCACGTTTCATCTTTCTGCAAGGAAAATGCCAAGGCAACAACGGCTGTAGTATCAATCTATAAACACTTGTAGTGTTTGTTGGGCTGATTGTCTTGCAGCGACTAACCCTCAACCTTCAACTTGAACCCTGAACTGTGACCTTTAAACCTTTTACCCTCAACCTTGAACCAGAATCTCTGAACTTTAACTCTTGAACCTTCAACCAAGAACACCAAACTCTAAGCTTCAACCATTGAACCACGGGCCTCAGAACTCTTGAGCCCTAAGCCCTAAGCCGAGCCTAAACCTTGAGCCCCAAACTCATTTGGTTTAGGGTCTAGGCCTGAGTAGAAAAGGTGCGAACAAACAATGAAGAACAACTTGAGCCCTAAACCTTGAACCCCCAGCCCTGAACCCTAAACCTTGAACTTAAAATCCGAAACCCAAAACCCTTAACCCTAAGCCCTAAACCGTAAACCTTAAACCCTAGAACCCTAAACCCTGGCCCTAACCTTAAACCCAAAAACCCTAAACCCTGAATAGTAGCATACCCCTATACAATCCCTAGCCCTAAGCCCTAAACCCTAACCCTGAGCCCTAAACCACGTTGCCATTGGAGCAAGGATCTGCCAGCGCTGTGACAAGGAGCCAACGTCTGCCACTGCCTGGTTTAGGGTTTAGGGTGTAGGGTTTAGGGCTTAGGTTTAGGGTTTAGGAAATAAGGTTTTTAGGATTTAGGGTTAAGGGCTTAGGCTGCAGGATTTAGATTTTTGGTTTAGGGTTTACATAAGGGATTAGAAAGGGAAATACTTTGGGGGTTGTTAAGGGGAATTCTAAGAGTTTAGACTCTAGCGGATGTCAGCTCATTTTGACATTAGGGTGTAGGCATTCGGGTTTATGGATTCGGGACTAGGGATTAGGGTTTAGGGATTAGGGTTTTGGGATTAGGGTTTTGGGAATATGGAGAATCAAATGGAAAAAGAAAGGATGAGATGGAATCTGGGTGTTAGAAGGGTATCTAAGGTTCAGGGCTAAGTGGGGGAAAATCCAGGCCATCACCAGGACTAATGACTATTTCGGATAACACTAGTGTTTTGTGAGGTCCCTACCTAGGTAAAAACCGCCTAAGTGATCAATTGCCAGCATTTAGGTGGACCCCCCACCCAGTAATAGCAAGTATAAGGGATCACGGTGATTATATTGGGGTCCTCTCAAATTCCTAGTATACCGTTATTACAGGGTTACAGGTTGTCTACCTAAAGGATGACGTTCCTAGGTGCCTGTTTTTGAAAGCACACTTGCTTATACACCCTAGAATGCCATAACACCTCCTCCAGGATATAGTGTTCCTCACTAGAGCGGCTCTCAAGCAGGCACCCTCTTGGTGGCTCCTGACATGCTCGGTTGAGGGTGTAGGGTCTGTCCACATGTGGTCCTCCATAGGCAGTTCACAGTCTGATGTTACTTGACAAGAGGGCTGTGGTAACCCCAACCCTAAACTTAGGCCCCCATCAAAGCCATATGACCATATGATAGTTGTGCGTTCCTCATTTTGGAGCCTGGGGTCACCAATATCTCCGAACAACTCTTGTTATCATGACCGTGGCTGTTGCACTCATGCGCTCACTATCACCACCACCGCCGCAGCCCCAACCACCACCACCACCACCACCATCATTATTATTAGTAGGCGGGTGCCCCGCCATGGGATCCGCCCAAAATGCAAGCGAAGTGCCATTTGAACGTGCGCAATTGTTGAAAGTGCTGACAGGGGCATCATAGGCCAGAGTCACATGTAACAGTTTTCGGGGCCGAAATCTGGGCGCCGAAATGAGGCTTCGGGGGTTAAAACTGGAGTTTTGGGGTCTGCCGCGATGGACTTTTTTTACTTCGAGGTGTCGCAGTGGCAAAGGCCCTCGATTCAGCAAGTTGCTGCAAGCGCTTTCTCGGGACCCTTTGAGGGCAGCTCATGCTTGCACGATTTTGTCCGCTGAGGACCGCCTGTCTTTTGAGGGCGACTATGGTTCACACCAGCCATTCCGGCACCCGCGGCTTTTCATTAAAGCCGGAGGGTATGAGCTTACTTCAGATTTTGGTGAAACATGGTGAAGCACGCGGCCATAAGTGCAACTGTAGCATGCCCCTGTCGTTGTCGTAACCGGCGAAGTGACTCCCCTACCCCCTCACCCCATAAGTATTATTATGATTGTTATTGTTATTAGTGTTACTGTTACTATGACTATAACGTACATCAGGCCTAGCTCTTGCTGTTAGGACGGAAAGTCCTGCTGTGGAGCCACCAGCGGCTGAGACCCCACAGGCCGCCCAGGCCGCTCCAGCCCCTTGTGCTGCTTCAGGGGTTCAGGGTTACTAGGGTTGAGGGTCTATGGTTTAGGGTCGAGGGTTAAGAGTTAAGGGTTAAGGGTTTAGGGTTTAGGGTGTATATAGGGTCCAGGGTTTAGTGTTCAGGGTTTAGGGTTTCGGGTTGAAGGTTTTGGGCCCAGGGTCTACGACTCAGGGTGTAGGGTTTAGGGATTAGGGTTTAGGCCCTTACTTTGAGGTTCAGGGTCATTATGCCCCATTATAGATTGATATGTGTATATGTAAATATCTGTGAGGCTATGTAGGATGTAGGGTTTAGGTGTGGGCTCTTGGGGAAGCCTTGGAGGCTCAGGGCAAGTATCATAACCCAATCATAACGAGATCAGACTTAGGGGACTTGTATGTTGGAAATTTCAGCGTTTAGGGTTTGGGGTTTAGGGTGATGGAGAGTCAAGTGGACAAGACAATGGCAAATGAAGTGGAGGTTGGATTTTTCCCAGATAACTGCAAATCAAATAGGGCGGCAAAAAGTCAAAACGGAAACTCGCACACGACCCGGTCAAGATTCACTCAAAACTCAGGACCTGAACCTTATACGATTTCTATAAACCCACTGGGGGACCCAACATACTACAGTCCTAATTGTAGGGACCTTCGAAAATTTCTCGTAATCCTGGAAAACCCCCAGTTCCAGTTAGATGCCCGCCCAGGCCAGTGAGGACACTGCGCCTGCAAGCTGAGGGTTTGCACCCTCTTTCCACCGAGGGCTTAGGGCTGGGGGAGTTCCTGAAACTTAGACATATAGTCCCCCTGGAGTAGATAGAATATGGCTTTGGGTATTATTGCAATAAGATCCCCATATACCCCCTATTCTATCTACTTAAGGGGACTATAGGTTTTAGGGTTTAGGATTTAGGGTCAGGGTTACATGGAGGTATATCAGATTGTCAGGGATTATATAGGTGCAGATGGAGAATCAACTGGAAAAGAACATGAATGAAATGGAGGCTGGGTTTGCATAGTGGGTTTACATGCTCGTAGGGTTAAAGGGTTCAGGGTTATGTGAGCCATAATCTAAAGTCCTTCAAGGGAGTTATATAGGATTGTATAGGGGACTGCTGTAGGGGTTAATAAGGGGATCTTAGGAGTGTAGACCATGGCTTATGTACGAAAAAAACCAAATCATGCCCAGGTATTTTCCCATGTAGCCCCTTTAGTAGATAGTAAGTATGACCTACTAGGGAGCAAGCAGGCAAGAAGGGATGCTGTAGGGACAGACAAAAGATATACATATATATATATACACATAGGGACCAACCCCTGCTACTGTTATTTCTGTTATTACAAATACTACGGGTACTAGTCCTGTCTCAATGTTTATCACAGGTAGATGGTGTCAAAAGATTCTTCAATTCTGGGCAACCTGTCCAGTCAAAAGCACTGCCCGGGCTGAATTTTAAGTGGTGCTGCTGACATTTGTGCAGAGACAGCTCAGGACGCAAGCTAACTGGGACAGAATTTTTGTTACAGGTGCCTCAGAAGTCGGTTCCTTGTGTAATTGATTATTTAAGCCCCCATGCTAGGTGGTCCTGAACTGAAGTCATCCTCCTTAGTGCAGGGAGATGGTCCAAAGCTGTTCTCAGATCACAAATTGTTTGAGCAGAGCTGAAAGGCCTGATTCGCGCCACGCAGTCTCGAAGCTTATTGAAAAATGGGGGCTCTGAAGCGCTCCGACCTGTACACACGGCAAAGCCAGCACCAGCGGGTGCACTTCTGATGGGTATGGCACTCCACTTAGTGAGCATGAACTTTTTCCAAGGAGGGAACACGTATTCAATAATGACGATGTGTGGCTTGTAAAGGACATCCGGAGTCATACCCAAAAGGCACAGGCGACCACGCCGCTCAGACCAGGCATAGCGGAAAGACAAAAGGTAATGCTTCCCTCCATTTGTCGTGCTGCTTCCCCATCCCTTTTCTCCATCCTCCCTCCCTTCCTCGCTCCTCTTCTCTCACTCTGTCTCCAACACTTTCGCGCTCACACTATCTCACCCCAAACCCTAAACTAACCCCCGTCTCTGTCTTTCTGCCTCACTCCTCGTATCTTCGTCTCTCGTCCATCACGCTGCTCTGCAGGGCGTTTTCACACATGGGGATTTCCCAACATTACTGCTTATATAGTGTTTTGAGTTTAGGGTTCAGGGTTGAAGGATTCCGTCTGACATGGCGATAGATTCGGCAAGTGTGCCTCCACGGAGGCTCTGTTCGAGAATATTCGCGTCGTGGTATGTTATACTATATGGCATACTACAACATGTAGGGAATATCTTTAAGAATCTGGGCAATTTAAAGCGACCTCACCCTAATTAGGGACTGGTACCAAAATGGCCTTAAATTGGGAATTGAAATTATTCTAAATTATCTTGGATTGTAGACTAGAGGGGAAGGGGGTCAGGGTTGAAGCTTTCCGTCTGCTCGGCTTCAAGCTTGTAGTTGACGATTGATCGTTTTGGGAGCTGGCTGGTTGACAGTCGCCTACTCAGAGCCAGAGGACGAATCTGAGGGGATGAAGGAATGGGAAAGAGCATGGAATATGCATGAATCCTTATACAATCCCTACATAGCCCCTATACGAAGCCTATAATCCCCAATCATCCTTATACTTGGAGGTGCATGGGACTTAGTAACTACTTATAACAGGGCTTATAACCTTACTTATAATCCCCCTAACTAGAGTTATGTAGGTTGCCCCAATCATAAGTAGGGTTATAATTCCAGTTATAAGTAGATATTAAGTCCCATGAACCTCCAAGTAATATATGGGGCTGGAACAGAACATAGAAACCGCCGTATTCCTGGGGATGCTTAGCAAGGAATTGGGGCAACTGAAGGATACGCGGTTTAGGGTTCAGGGTTTAGGGCGTAAGGTTTAGGGTTTAGGGTTTTAGGGTTTTAGGGTTTTAGGGTTTTAGGGTTAAGGGTATAGGGCTTTTCTGGAGTTTGTTGGCAGGAAATTGCCATTTTGCGTAAGCCCAAGAAGTACATGTTTGAGTAACACCTGTTCATGTGTTGTGCTGGCCACCCTTGACCAAAGACTATATACCCAAACCCTAACTCTCCGTATCATCTCAGTTTCCATTTCATCTTCCATGTTCTTTTCCATTTGATTCTCCAGTGTTGGGTTGTTGCCTCTAATCCCTGCTAAATCTTTATACAATCCTTACATAGCCTCTATATAATCCCTATATCATAATCCCTATATCATCCTGATAGTCACTATGCAACCCCTGTGGGCCCTATCTAATCCCTAAACCCAATACCCAGATATTGCCTGAGGCGATAATGGCTTCTGCTATATGGAACGATCTGAAAGGCCATGGGCATGTGTTGAGGATTGAGGGTTTAAGGTTAAGAGTTTAGGGTTGAGGATTTACATTGTTATAGGCTACTTTCTGCTGTTACCCCTCAGCTAAAACACTCCCATACCGTCCTGGAGTATTGAATATGCCCCAGTACATTTGGGCCGCAACAGTTTTGTTGGTGAGTGGAACCTCTAATCTGAATCAAAAGGTTAACCTTCTGTAGGGCCCGGTAACTCAGCAACTCGGATAGGGATAAAGTTGAGCGCTGGCATTGGATTGCCTCCTGAAATCCATTACGCAATCTACTTGAAACGCTTCAGTTGGATGCACATGCTATGACTATCTATACGCCCCTACTTGGGTGTACCTACTCGAAGTTCTCAAAGTCCCCACATGCTGTATATACCCCTACCAAACCCCGCAGAAGCGCTTCGACCTCCTTGCTGGTGCTTAGGGGGGTAGTTCGGGAGTGTACATGGGCAATATACTAGGGGTATATATGGGGATCCTATGGGGACTGTCAAAGTAGGCGTAGGGATTTAGGGTTTAGGGTTTAGGGCCCTCTGCCCCCTCAACCACCAGGAAGTTTCTCTGGGTCAGCTTCGATAGGCCAAGTGCCAAAAATGAAAGCGACGCATCTGCGGGCACTGATGCAGGACCAGGCTTCCGGTCGTAATACTAATAATAATAATAGTAGCAATAATAGTAATAATAGTACTGGTATTAAGAGTAATAAAAAATAGAATAATACTAATAATAGTAATAATAATACTAATAATAGCAAGGGTGGCTTCCCTTGTCGCTATCGGGTGGATCAGGGGCATGTGCTAAGAAGAGCCCACACTTGTTGTTTGCAGCACTGGCCATACCCTTTACAATGGGACCTGCCAAGTGCAAGCCACCTAAATCGCAGTTCAAGAGGCCCGCAACGACTCAATGTTTGTTCAGAGTGGACCCATGGTGCCCGGCTCAGATGTCGTCTTCTCATTGATAAGGATCTTTCAGTTGCGTAGTGAAGCACTGATTGAAATGCATCTCTCCCAAGCATACGTGTGTCCTGCGAAAAATGTAACGCACTTGCGGATGCGCAGGGGCCAAGAATTTCCTGTAACTCGCACAGAGCGGGGGAGACCATCAACACTGAGCACACAGCTATGCCACTGCTGGTAGCTGTGATGGCGGTGGCAGCTGCAGTGGTCGTTTCCATGGTGATGCTGGTGCTGCTGGCTGCTGGAAAATTGCACAAACCTGTAGTCCTAGTGGACCTAGCCCTAGCCCTAAACCCTAAACCCTGCAAGTCTAGGTTCTCGACTATTGCCGGCAAAAGGTCGACAGCGAGACCATGCCACTGCCCTACTTGGTATTCTTTGAGCTGGGTGGTGGTCTCAATTCCCAGGGAGCCCACCACGCCCTCATTCGGGAATGTACCCGAATCAGACTAGGAATTTTCATACGACTTAGTTAGGGTATATTCCTTAATCATTCGCTCTTGGAGTCTTTAGGTTCGTGTCGTTGCAATGAAAGTGCATGCCATGCAGCCTCAATGCGTCACTCCAGGTCACAGAGAGCGTCAAGCCACGTAGCACCTGAGTAGTATTTTTCTTGGGGATACTATGGTACCCATTCACTATTGAGGGAGCCAAAGTGCTCATCGCCCGACTCAAATGACTGACTAACGTCCGTGAATATAAATACTATGGTACCCAACCCTAAACCCCTAAACCCCTATACCCTAGACCCAATAAAGAGTAAGACTATATCCTCCTTTGGGGTGTAGTATTTTAAGCCGTAAACCCTATTAAACCCTAAACCCTAAACGTTTCCCACCTGAGGTCTAAGCTTTTCGACTTGGCGGACAAGGTGGCGACCTGCTGGACATTATGGTATGAACGGGAATTTTCCAAAATAAGGGGTACCTTTTTGAGGGTCCCTATAAGGACTATAGTATTTTGGGGTCTATATTGGGGTCCCCTATTTTGGGAAACTACCAAATGTGGTATTAAGTCGTATGATGGTATAACATACTAATGTTTCGGACAGTATAATACAGCATACGATAACATAACATAACAAAGTACAAGGCAATCTAAGATGAAGTTATGATCTGCATATGTGTTATTCGGCGGAATATTTCAGGGAGGGATCCAAGAATCCGAGGCACCCGGTATCCAACCACATGATAATTTGCGTTGCGCTCGGCGGGTCCGGGGATTGAGTAAGAAGCTTAGTGGCGGGAAAACTGAAGTTTTATGAGGCTCACGGCTCACGCAGGTTGTAAGTATACTTGCAAAGTCCCCCCCGATCCCCAAGTACTCCTGAAGGCCCTGGAGGTTCAGTGAATTTCCCACTTCTGCTCCAGGCTGGCGTCGATCAGAAGA